AGCGAAGAAGAACAAAGTGGTGATGAAAAGGTTGATGTTGAATACAAACCAGATTACGACAAAGATAAACCTCACATGATCACGCAGGGAGAACTTAGTGATCTGGTAAGGGACCTTGGGTTAACTAAAAATAAAGCAGAACTCCTGGGGTCTAGATTACAGCAATGGAATTTACTGGACAGAGGAACTAAAATATCCCATTTTCGTGACCGGCACACCGAATTTGCAAAATTTTACAACAAAGAGGACAATATATGTTACTGTGTAGACATTGCTGGATTAATGACAAAATTGGATGATGAGTATGATCCTGTAGATTGGCGTCTGTTTATTGATTCTAGTAAAGTCAGTCTAAAAGCAGTTCTGCTACATAACGGAAATGTTAAACCATCCATTCCTGTAGCCCATGCAGTGGGTATGAAAGAAACATATGAATCTATGAAGACACTTCTTAAAGTTATAAAGTACACTGATCACAACTGGAATATCTGTAGGGATCTCAAAGTTGGATCTCTTCTTCTTGGGATGCAATTGGGGTACACGAAACACATGTGCTTTTTGTGTCTGTGGAACAGTCGTGATGATGCAAATCACTATCTCGTCAAAGACTGGCCTGCGAGAATTGATCCGGTACCTGGACAATTTAACATTCTTCACGAATCGTTGGTGAATCCTGACAAAATCTTCCTTCCTCCTCTTCATATCAAATTAGGAATATTTAAAAACTTTGTCAAGGCGCTACCTACTGATTCGAAAGGATTTATTTATCTTAAAGATAAATTCAAAACCACTCTCACAAACGCAAAGATAGCTGCAGGAGTTTTTACTGGACCACAGATACGTGAAGTTATTCGTGACCCAAATTTCAAATTACAACTAGAGCCTGTGGAGTTGCTGGCTTGGGAAGCGTTTGTGGCACTGGTTCAGAATTTTTTAGGAAACCACAGATCAGAAGACTATGTGAACTTGGTAGAAAACTTCATAATGGCATACCAAAACATGGGTTGTAGAATGTCCCTAAAAATCCATTTCCTCCATTCCCACCTTAGCTTCTTTCCTGCCAATTTAGGAGCTGTCAGTGATGAACAGGGAGAAAGATTCCATCAAGAAATCTCTGTTATGGAACACCGGTATCAGGGTCGTTTTGATAGTAACATGATGGGGGATTTCTGTTGGTTTCTACAGCGTGAAAGTGAAAGTCAATATAAGCGCAAAAGATCATTATCGACAAATTATTTTTATTAATTTAACTTTGAGACCTTACCTATGTAATAATTTTGATTTAAATAAATAAAAAAACAATCAGATTATGAATATGTTTTGGTTTTGAGTATTCTTGAGCACAGCTGAAAATGGACTAATTTAGCACCTAAAATTCACAATCTTTTAGCTGTAACTTTATAACCTGACGTCCTATGACAAAAAGAATAGCAGATTTGTAATCAGCATACCCAAATTACCCTAGAACAACTAACAAAGTCTGAGTAGCAAAAAACTTGTTGCATAGTGTAATCTACCGCACCACAATACGTTACTAAACTCATTGTTTTATTTCAAAGCTTGATCCTGTACAAAGAACTAATTTTTTCTCTAGCATTATTGCTTCACAAATATTACAAATAAAATTTTGCTATTATTAATGTTATGTTTGCATGATTGCCTTTTTTCATTTTAACCTCTATGTGTGTCCTCTTATCTTCATTCTGGTTTATTGAATTTTTTTATTTCGTGTCGAATTTGACAAATGAAAATTTAACATACGATGCTGATTGATTGGTAAGCTGTAATGGATGGGTGGATGTGCGGGCGGATGTGTGGATGCATGGAGAGACGGATGAATGAGTTAGTAACTAATTGAACGAATGAAAAAAAGCAGCTTCAGCTATATATAACATGTAACATGCACCTTTTAAAAAATGATTATATGAACAATCAAATGAACTAAACTAAGTATAGAACCCAAATTGAAAGAACAGCAAACGAATACTCACAAATGGTCTCAAAGTAGATCGAACAAGTATATGAAAAAAATTGAGAATGAATGAACGATTGAGAATGAATGAGTGACTGCGAACGAGTGAGCGCTTTCAGACTCTAGACAAGCAACGTCTAACCACACTTATAAAGCGAAGAAATCTACATGTGCCTCTACAAGTGCATTCTTGCATGTTAAAACTTCACAATAAATATATTTCATAAACAAATTTCTAAAAATATCACATAAATACATTTCTCCATGAACAACATGGACACAGCACATATTAATACATACGTACAATCACATATAACCAAAAATCAACGTAAAATTATTTATATATGAGTAAACCCAAATATATACATACTAACCATTCAGTCACTAAGTGTGTACACATAAAATAATTCTCACGCTAACTTTTCATACATGCAATCGTGCCAACGTACATACTAAAATACAATAGAAGCAAGTGAAAAAACAAAAAGTAAAAAAGATAAACTTGGAAAACAAACAGACCAACAATAA